AAGATAGCATCTCAGAGATGTATGACTTTGCCTAACACTCCGTTGTTGGATGAGATTAAGGGATTCCCTAGAAATTGCCTTCGCTGAAACCATGGTCTGACTTTGACCTGCCGTAGGTCAGCGACCTTGCAAAGTGCATCTAAATTTTTGATGCCAAACGATCCGCTATTAAATTGTCTACAGTTAAGCAAAGCTTGGTGCGGCTGCGCAGCGCCGTTCGAAAACCATTCTGGAAGAACCTTCGGGGGTTCAATTTGACCCCCACCCGAGCGCGTGTTAAACTACCTGCACACCGTAACCCATATATCTGCAGAAATGTATCGCAAACTCATCTTTTGCTGTGAAACGTATTGTATATCATCATGCAGCCTAGGTGCATTTCGAAGGAGTGGTGAATTGACCAAAACTGTTTTCTTCCACGCAGAAACATTTCTATACATATATGCCTTTTGCAAGCATATGAATATATATATATATATATATATATATATATATACAGTGTGCACACATATAGTGGGCATTTAGGTCTGCCCGGTTCGTAAACTACTAGCTTCCTGTAAAGGAGTCATTTCATTTCACTCGAATATGCATCGGTTTGGACGAACCGTTATTTCCTTTCCCTAATTTAAAGATAATGACAGACACGTGTGTATTGGGCGTGAGCCTAGAACACTTTTTTAACACATTTCCATGCTATAGTTGGTTTTTATGTTGGATCTGCCTTGAATATGCGTTATTTCTAGCATATCATTCCACCTTTTCTCTTTGGGCGAACTATTTACTATACATTTGCTCAAAATTCTCTCCAAGCCAACACATTTCAAATCGTTCTTGGGCTCCCGACATAACGTATGCATCCGTTCACCGTACAATGAACACAGCATATCGCGTTGCCTTGTTTGCATGCAATCGTTCGATGATACATACAGCGTATCTTAGCTTCACTCACCAGAACATGCTTCTGACAATTCGCCGACAGATGGCGCAGTTTTTCAGACTCCCGTACGCTCCTTTCTTGACCGCTTATGCCTTTTTGTTTTTTGTTTTTTTGCGTGTGCGAGATAATGATGTCGTGAATGACAGCTTTATATATACAAGTATTATCATTTGTATCACTAGCTGATTGTGACCGAATGTTGAACATTTCCAGACAAACATGGCTTCGCCAAGTATTGTTAACCCACTTCAACCAATAATTTGCATTCGTCAGGTCCCTTATATATATGTAGAACCCATAAAAATTATGTCGATGCTTTTAAGTTTCATCGGGTTAGAAAATATCCACTGGACCATTGTAAAACGGAGAGTGCCGGCGATTCATTTTTTGCAATCGTTTAACGCGTAATTTGTTCAGTTTATTGACCATTACATCCAGTCGGGATTTATCGCACGGAGCTTCTGGCTTCTGTTCTAGTTAAAGAGGAAAAATATCAAGGAAAAGCATGCCCTCATTAACAAATGGGCCATATCTGGCGATTTGTTGGTGGGGGACTTTTCACTGTCAGGGCCTTTTGTTAACCCTGTGCCCCTTTGCCAAGACTTTGGCTGCGTGGCTGATCGTTGTTGACCGAAAATGATCAACGTGCAGACACATGGAGCATGCTCGAACGAAGTGTATGAAACAATTTAAGTTGTTCCGGTGCAATCCATGGTTACTTACGGTATGACCAAAATATGCTGTTATCATTATGCAAACTCTCGGTTCTTCCGATTATTAATATGGGTCCACGGTGCTTATCGTGTTCTCACGACCGTCTCAAGTCACTATGCGTCATTCAGAGCATGTTTTTAATGCTTGCGCTTAAAGCGCAGCGTGCACCTTCAATTTCGGCAACTGAGGTGGATGTGTACTTTATGGCCCTAGCCTTTCAACGCACTGAACGCACCTTGAGCTATTTTAAGTATGGATCCGTGGTGCTTACGGGTGGTCTCAAGACCGTCTCAGGTCATAATCTGTCATTCAGAGCATGTTTTTAACGCTTCCGCTAAAAGCACAGCGTGCATCTTCAATTTGGACACTCGAGGTGGATGCGTACGTTATGCCTTCATTCCTCCGACGCACTGAACATGCCGTGAGGTATTGGCGACGGAACGGGAAAACCACAGCCACCTGATGATTGGCTCCACCCATATATTGCCAGGCATCCATCACACATTCGTTGGACCGTCAGGACGCCGCTTGGGACTGATAATGACGTCTCTTAGCGCCACCATACTGCCGCAGCTAAAATTATTGTTTGAATCATGTTCTACCACGGGCATCCGTGCCACCTGCTTTAGCAGTGCCTTCCTGGCAGTTAACACCACGCAACGTTTGTCTTTTTTTTACAAACTTTAAATGTTTCGAGACAACAGCTTATATTGAATAAAGGTTCAACGGTGACGTGTCTGCTTGCCGAACGTCCTTATTTTTGCTTTATATTCGCGCTGTGCGTATGTGAATCGCAGGTGGATCCAGTTGGATCCAGGGCCTAACGCTTGACAACCGCATTGAATGTGTCATGCTCCGTGACACACATAACACATAAAATGTAAATTACCGCATGACACGCCTGAGCATATTGTAAAACTAAAGGCTCTTTTCTTTCTGTGCAACATCTCAGTAACCAAGTCATGCGTCGGAAATGATAGTAATCTGTTCGTATAAAAGGTGGCTTTGCAGTCACTATCGATGACGACTAAACTTACTGCGTCATCGTCAACATCTTAGATCTGTATCGCTTCCTATCCACACAAGACACAGACAACAAATATTTGCGGATCCCACGACATAGAGGCATCACAGGGAATGAGCAAACCAACGAAGCGACCAAGAAGGATTGGACGTTGTCTTGCATCAGAGCCATCCCTGTTGATTGAGCCCGTATAAATTCCTCTTCTTACAGCTTGAAAAACAACTTCAACATCAGCAATGAACAAACAATAGGACCCAAGTGTGTGACAAAAAAGCAGATACTACACCCTCGCCATCTGTAGAACGCACTGACAGTGTGGAGAAGAGGCCTCGACCAGCGCATGGGATATTTGGGATATATAGAGCACAGCCGAGCATGGGATATTCCAGCCCCCGGGGGGGGGGGGGGGGGGGGGGCTGGAATATCCCATGCTCGGCTGTGTCAACGAACCACTATGCAAACACTTAATAAAGCGTTTCTTAAAAGCTACATTCATGTGATTTCTGACGTTTCACTTGCATGGCGTTGGGCACCAATTTCATTTTCCAGTCGTGCGCTTGTCAGCCGTGGTTTATTTGCAAATTTTGCGTCCGCTTTCTTTTTTGTCTTCCATTCCCATTAAACGGAGTGCTTCACATTTGTAGGGGACTTTGAACTGAAACAGCTACCTTGGAGATCGCACGATGACTTTCACAGCCCTGCCTTTTTAAAGCCTAAAAAACTCCCGTTTCTGAGCTAAACACCCGCGAAGATGTGCAGACTATTGTGTGCAGATCATTGCAGGGTCACTATTTCGTGCAGATCATTGCAGGATCTCTATTTCGTGCAGATCATTGCAGAGTCACTATTTCGTGCAGATCACTGCAGGATCACTATTTCGCGCAGATCATTGCAGGGTCACTATTTCGTGCAGATCATGGCAGGGTCACGCTGGCAGGCAATGACGCCATAATAACATTGTTCAAATCCTGGCATTGCAGTGGCCGTGTGGCGACCAAGGCCAACTAAAATATAATTGAGGGGTCGTCCATACCTGGCGTTCGTGAGCGCGATTTCCAGATATGACTAGCAACCGTTAATTAGATCTCATTCAGTGTTGTGCAAGGTACGACAAAGCAATCGAACAATGACGTATTGAGGAATATTTACTTATCATGCTGTCCTGAGCAGTCTTTTCCACTGAACGTGGAAAAGTTTTGTAGTTAGTTTCAGTATTTTAGAAAAGTTCCAGTAGTTATATGTGAGTTTATTTCATCATATCTGATGCTTGCCGTAGCGTCTCGAAATGCGGAACACTTGCTTTAGCTGATTAAACCAGCGGTGTGATTCGGTCGGCCATCCATACGAAATGGTTGATTTCGTTTATTCACAGGCGCCTCTCCGAGCTTTTCCATGACGTCATCGAGTTGCCAGTCTGCGGCTATCGCCACCTACGGCTTTGCTCGAATGAGAGCAGGCCTGTCTGACCCAGCGCTCAGTGATGAGGTGCAGACACTGCTGCTGGTGACGGGCACCACGACATCGGTCGCACTTCAGCCTCTCTTCGCTCGAATGAGAGCAGGTCTGTCTGACCCAGCGCTCAGTGATGAGGTGCAGACACTGCTGCTGGTGACGGGCACCACGACATCGATCGCACTTCAGCCTCTCTCCGTTGGCCTGGGGTATATTTCTTGTTACGAGCTAATCGAGGGTTGATCGTAATCTGGCAGCATGATTGCGGACCTCCAGACCAAATTCCATTGCCCTTTGTTCAGGTATTAAGGTCAGGCATAGGTTAAAGATAACCTGGTTTTTTACTGGAGAGCTTGCTTTATTTAGTAGTGTCTGGTGCTCATTTCGGATTTCCTGATAACAGGGACCGCATCAGACACCATCCATACACTTTCCTCTTGGGGTACTCCAGTAAAGTATCTCTCTAGGCTCTATGGAACATCTCCAAAGAGCATTTCGAGATGCTCCAGTGGCCACATTTGACGTATGGTTCTATGCCCCTCAGAATTTGTTGGAGAGTCTCCGGGAGTCGAGGAATTTTTCAAGACTGTTGTAAAAGACGGTTCTTGGATTCAGGTTTGTTCAAAATTTTGTTGAAGTATTTGCTCGGATCCCAGTCTTGTTTTGAGGAAGGACAACTGGATGTAAGATCTACCTGTTAATTGAAAATCACTGTAATCCGGAAAGCGTTTCTGAGCTCCGAGGGGTCAAATTCATGGACAACGCGCATGCCTAGATGTGAGAGGCCATTTGGCAAGTCCCATTTCTCCACATGTAGCACCCGATCAACCCTAACCCCGCCGCTCTCAGCAGTCGTACGGTTACGAAGCTTACCTTGCCGGTGTGTGATATTCCCTGCCGTCTCCGTCCTCCGTTCCCTGACCCCCGCGGGATGTCCTCGGAGGACTTCCGCTGGCCCAATGCCTCGGAGGCCGAAGCCATGGGCTGCGCGAGGCCGCGATACGGCACCGTTAGTCAGCAGAGCTCAGACTCTGACGTCCTGTGCAAACCGATAAGATAGGTATGGCGGTAGCATGCCAGTCATAAATGGTTTTAGGGTGTTTAACAGCGGTAAAGTTTGCCCCAAATTCGGCCGCAGTAATTCTTATGTGTTGCGACTTCGCTTTTGTCGAACACAATACTGATAATCATCGCCAAGGGCGCAACCCGAGTCTTGTCAAGGGCGGGGGGGGGGGGGATAGAGGGTTGACAAACACCACTCCCCGACAAAATTAGCGGGTTATTTTGCTGATTAACAATGGGGGACTTCATTTCGAGCTGGCACACTTTTCCTGGTTTCATTCACATTCTCACCTCGTTCAACTGGAACAAACTCCAGAGTCTAACAGAAGATGCAATTATGTTGGCATCTTGAAATCAAGAAACTCACGGAAGCCGGGCGTGAAGTGTCTGCATGGAATAAATCGCCTTCAGTATTGGTTTTGAATTTGGGGTCTCTGGGACTCGACTGGTCTTCAGCGGACTCTTTCAGCACCGAGAGCACACAGGAGCTTTGTAAGAATTTGTGTGGGTTCTTCGGAGATATTGAGGACTCCGTGAACGTGGTTTGTAGATCAAAATGGACGAAAATTGTACGAGCATGACCAATTCACGTTCTTTTGGAAAGCTAAAAATTCGTCTAGAGTTGATTATTGAAGCTGATTTTGTGACATAGTTTTGATCATGTACACTCGCAAAGCATAGACAAAACCGACGTCCGGTGGTACAGTCTCCATGCATAGCGACTGTGTCATGTTCCCGTCGCCTTTAACATCCTCTTTTCGACGTGGCGATTCCGTCGGTCCATGAGTGGCCTGTCCATGGCCCTCGAGATCAGTCGTCGCCTGGACGTGGAAAGGAGTGCTCAGCAGCCCGGCCCGCTCTGGCGGCAGTCGTGACAGCATTAATTATATATATATATATATATATATATATATATATATATATATATATATATATATACAGTGAGGTCGTGTATCCTGGACAAGATGGATAAGTGAGGCCTAAATGAAGCTCCTACACCCTCACCCTGGCGCGTGTCAACGCATTAATTCCAGACCTGACCAGCCACATAGATAGCGCTGCATTGTTTCAGCGCGGGCACGGTACACATGTGCCGTCCAATGTCCTGCGGCTCATATTCGCTCCTTTATATCGCGTTTCTGATAATATGAAATCAATTTCAGAGACGACCGATTTCAACAGCTCACGCCACCTGAGCCACCACGCTCAAATGAGCTATTGTTTGCCGGCTTAGGACCACAACATCTTCTTCGTCGGAAAGAGACTGGAAGACTTTTTGTTAGTGATGCCTGTCAAAGACGCCAGCTTCTACCTGGATACATGCCCAAGTGCACCAGCCGGACTGATCTACCCCATATGTCACCTAGGGTGACTGCCCACTCAGTGCGTGTTGTGTGTACGGTGTGTGTACTGAACGGTGTGCCCACACAGTGTATAAGACACTTGCAGTAAACGGTGTCGTCTAAACATAGTTGCAATAAAGTATGACCAAATACATTACCTTTTTCCCATTGGGCATTAATTCAGACGTGTGCGCGTGCCGATAAGTCATCAACTCAAATGCCCTGACAATTTTCTGCAATGTTAGGTGTCCAACGTGGTTATGTTGAGTGAGTGCGAATTGGCAGCGATTTCGATGGAAAATAACCAATTTCTTAAGGAGTCCACGACCATTTCGTATTTCGATACGCGGCATGCTCCGAGCTCGCAATAGTTTACTGTTCGATAAAATTGGTGCGTTGTGTTTGCCTCGGATCACCGTAGACTGCATACTGTTTGCAAATTGCTGCTTAACTCATTACGAATTGCTGCTAAACCACGAACAGCCGAGCACACCCTGGAGTGGTGGCGCCCGGCAGGTATGGTGTAACTCAATGACACCCATCACTGATGACACGAATCCCCAATTCGTCATTCATGCATGGAGAGAAAAGTAATGTAGCCGATTATTTACCAATTACACCTCCTGAAATTGACGACCTGACCCCCTCATCGGGCATCAGTACCCCTTAAGCAAAACCAGTTCTAAAGCGGACTCCCGTGAGGGGTGTCACATGCACTCTCAGGGTGGTCATTTGGGGAGTCACAAGAGAGAATTGACTGCCCTGGGGAGCGTCCCGACTCCCGACGAAGGTGTCATATGGGGAGTCAAATGTAATTGAAAGACATGATTGGGGAGTACGCACTTCCCGTAGGGACGGACTTTTGACATATCGTGTAATTCCCTACAAGGGTGTCAACCTTTTTCAGTGTGGGGCGTACCTCTTCTGCCCGGTGGCTAATATAAGATGGCGACCAACAGACGATTGAAAATGATGACGCATTTAAAAGAAGATGCTTTGAATGCTTTAGGACATTATTCGCACGTTCAGAACGTAGTCCGGGCGTATATGTCATGTGTGCCATTTCTAGATTTACAATAGAAACGCATTAGCGTTTTCAGACCGCGAATTGTAGTTTAAATCTGCTGGTGGAACTGGACGAGTGAAGGTCCGATGTCTATTTTCCGCGTTGCTGTAACTGTTTATCTGTTCACATGCTAATCTCAATTTGAAACAGGCGAAACATAAACTTCGGTCTCATCTTTGAACTGCACACAATGACTTTGAATGGCGTTCGAAAACCTCGCTTCACGACGGTCGTCCTCGCACGCCCGCCGCTCGCGCCTGGTGCTATCTGCAAGGGGCAACGCCATTCTTGTTGGCGGAAGCTACAGCGTTTGCCATAGGCGTTCTTGCTCCCATGTGCCGCCCCACACCGCATTTTTCACGTGGCGCGGCGGCGCGGCGCGGCGCGACACAACAGGATGTGACCTAATGCGGCAGACCGCGACTCGACGCGGCCTGACGCACCTGTCGTCTATAGCTGTCGCGTGTTAGCCGGACGACGTCACTCACGCGGCTCGTTGCCATAGATACCGAATAGCTAAAGAAATAGATGCCGATACACTTCTATCCGGGTTTTGGGTTTGCTCAACATTGTTTTGCATACTAGATTATTCTTATTTTTTGGCTACGTTATTGCATATTTCGTTCAACCTACATATTATAAATGTCGCCGGCGAATGAGTACCTCACATCGGCGTTTAACATGTGATTGCCACATCAAAAGAGCGAGCGTAAACGGCGATGCACTATGTCGGTCAGACAGTATCAGTACCGAACAGCCGGCTTCGTGCCGGCCGGGACTGAGGGTCAATTTCCAAAGTAGCCACAAACCGGTTGCGTGATTTCCATCGGCCGGGGCCTCGGAATCGAAGAAGGGCCCCCAGGGCCCCCTTTGTTGGCCAGGGGACCACAGTGCCTAAAAGGGGCTCCTGTGTCTGCAAGCGCCCCGAGTCGGCAAGGAGTCAGGGAGCAAAGGGCTTGAGTGGGCTTGAAGGGAGCGAAGAAGGCTGAAGAAACCCTTCGCAGACAAAGATCAAGGCCCCGATTGGGCCCCACCTCGGTCCCCCGCCCATAAGACCGTGACCTCAATTACTAGTCGTAGGGTCTCTTGAACCGGTTTCGGACACCTTGGGCAATGCAGGCCTCTATTTCAGCCAAAGCCCAACACCTAGGGGTGGATCCAGGATTTTGTCGAGGGCGGAGGCACGCTTCATTGTTGTGTCCCTGGAAGTTGGTGTCCTTCCCTCACAAAGAAACCTCCAGATTTCGGCCACAATTATCAGATCCTTTTTTTAACCGGTAATATGTTTTCTTCTTGAATAGTCTACCGGATTTAGCTTATGTTACTTCTACAAGTCAATTTCTTTTGTCTTTTATTTTGAACTTTGAGATTTGGGGCCGTTTGGGATGGCCCCTAAACTTTGGTGCGTCTTGAAAATCAAGGTTATGTGTTCTCGAAAAGAAGATTTTAACACGCGCTCGGGTGGGGGGGGGGTCGAATTGACCCCTCCCAAAGGTTTATTCCAGAATAGTTACCGAACGGCGCGGCGTAGCTGCGCCACATATTGCCTAGCTGTAGACTATTGAATAGCGGATCGTTTGGCATCAAAAAATTAGATATACCTTGTAAGGTCGCTGACCTATGGCAGGTCAAAGTCAGGCCATGGTTTCAGCGAAGACAATTTCTAGGAAATCCTTCAATCTGATCCAACAACGGAGTGTTAGACGAGGCCATACATCTCTGAGATGCTTTCTTAGGCATCATAACAGTTGAATGAGCAAATTACATTGACCTGAGGTCAGGTATGAAGCCTTTAACCATCCGGGGATCTTCTCGCCACTGGGGAGCCATTTAAGGTTAAGCGGGTCTTTTACCCTCAGGAGCCTTTGTGAACCTTGTTCCTTCGTGCCAAGACTCTGACTGCATCCTTGCTCTCTGCAACATATCACTCATAGGCTATGTGACTGGAAGCCTTGGCGACTATTTTTGCAATCAACCCTTTGACAGCATGGGCGACATTGTACAGAAATAGTGCAGCCCAAAGAGCAATCATTGTGTATGAAATCCTGTGGTTCGAGCCGCCGGGTTGGGGCGCGGCGGGAGGGGGAGCATAATGCCCCTGCCTTATAATAAGCAAATATGACAAAAGCTCTATCGGGGCCAGTAGACTTGCTCTTTCCACTTCCTAAAGTATTCAACCACTCTTGCCATTACCCCGCCCTCCACTTGCCCTTCACAGACAACCGGTGGTTGCTGGTGGTTTCACAAGCACCAAAGGCACGGCGCTAGTACTGGAACTCTTGGTCACTCTCCTCTTTTTAAATTTATCATGCGCTGGAGTGTGAGTCAATTTGTTCCCCAAATGTTTTCACAAAATAATTTCAGAACGGCGCAACGGTGCCACGCAAAGATTGGATAGCGAATCTTTTGGTACACAGTAATTAAATGCGACTCGTACGGTCGCTGACCAGGCCACAGATGTCAGTTAAAGTCAGGC